TCCCCGTGCACCGGAGGCCAAGTTTCCTAATTTATGTATTATTGCTGGCTTTTAAAAATTTTAAATAATCTCTATTCGTGAAACTCATGGGATCTCTGAATTTGTATTAAGTTCTGAGTCTGTTAAAAGGACCCTCCAGACTCCTCCATTATATATTTGTAGTCAGTTTAATTGCATTTACAATAAGTGAGATACTATCTTGAAGTACTCTTGAACCATAGTAGGAGGTGCTATTTAAACAGTGAGGAGGACGGTTGGAGTGAGTCAGCTCTTGTAACAGTATCTTTACTTCATTTAAGTTTTCTTCTCTGAAACACTCTTAAATTACTGGTTTTTCAGGGTCATCCCATAAAACTCTTCAGGATTCTTATACTTCATTGCATCTGATTTATGCTGATGGTAGGTTTGGTTCAGCAGGACATTTGAAAGTCATGTAGCATGTTGGAAGGTTTGTTGTAGTGTGGGATTGTCTCAGGCCTTGAATCTGGCCTCACCCTGTGGTAGCATTGGCATGAGCTGGTCCTGCGTGTTATTGTTATACAAAAAGTTGCCACAGATTTACAGAGTGCCATGTGTACCTGGTACCATCTGTTTATAATATGATACTCAATACCCTTTACAACTGGACCTGCGTCCTTGCCACGGTGAAACCAAGAGGCTACGTTTTCCTTTTAGATGTCGATGAAGAGGAGGGAAGAGCCCGCCCAGGCCTCCGCACTGAGGGAGTGGCCACATGCAAGTGTGGCTCCGAGGAACCTCTGTGAGAACTCAGCTCAGGAGATGGCTGCAGTCCGGATGCGTAAGCACAGTCCCCTTCACCGACACCTCCTGTGGGCTCTATCTCTAGACTTCCCTCGGCCCTTACCGTTTTGTACCCTTTCTAGTAACACTATCTTCTTCCCCGATTGCCTGAGTTACTGGTTCTTGTGATCGTCAATGAATATCCTTCCCCCTTGGAGTGAATATCCCTTCTTTTGACTTCTTTTCTTTCTTGGCCATCAAGAATTCTAGGTAATTTGCCATTCTCGGGTGTCCCTTTATTTTTGGGAGCCATGACAATGCCTCTTCCTGGCCCCTCTGTCCTTCAGAGGAGGAGCTATTCTCTCGTGTCGTGCCCTGCAGAGCCCTCTGCCCGGCTGGCCCAGTGGACCCTTCCTTTGCGTTCCATAGGACTGCTGAGACTGCATCCAACATGCCTGTCATTTCTCTATCCCAGAGATTGTTTTTTCTAAGTTCATGGACCAGATGTTATATAAATAATTAATGTGTTATTTTAGGAAAAATAATGCAAGGTGGTTTGTTTAATGCAGACCAAGATACCTGTGAAAAAATACGACAAGGTGTCAAGACCTCAGGAGTATCCAACAGGTGAGTGCTTGTGCTCCTAAGTGGCCCATCCCGGTAGATACAGGAAATTGGACTGAAACCAGCATGTCATAATCACTGCCCTGGAAAATAACAAGAGAAAGTGCCACTCCCACTGTGTCTTCATGGAGGCCTGTGTCAAGACGGCCTCTCCGTCCTTAACAGTTACACAAAACCTGGAGCTGGCATACAGCTGCCTCCAGAAGCCAGCCTCTGTCCTGCTCAGTTACTATGCCTGTGCTTCCGTACACTTCCTTGGAGGCCTAACTGGAGAAGCCAGATGCGAAGAACTTAGGTGACGGCAAAGGCTGCCAGGGAAGCTACTGTGACAGTGGAGGAAAGAAACATTAGCACGGGAAGAGGGCTTGGGGAGCACAAGTGCAGGTACTTTCAAGCTCCACTAGGAGACTCAAGCAGGGAGAAGATCAGAAGGAAAGGAGCTGATAAGAAATGGCAGGAGTAGGTACTTTGTTGTGTCGGTTGTGGGAACAGGGTAAGTGTAACAGACAACCCAGCAGCAGAAGGGGAGGGACCAAGTCACAGGCAGAGGGCTGGCTTCTTGTGAGGCTATTAACTTCTCAGATTGGAAAAAAGAGGAGAAAGAAAACAACATGTGTAATCAGCCTGAAGGGCAGGCAGGAGTGGCATGAGGAAGTGAATTTTCCTTATTGATGTTCGTTCATCTTAGGGAAATAGGAAGCTAAATCATTCACTCTTTCATTCATTCATGTATTTTGGTTTTAGGCTGGGGATATAGCTCAGTGGCATAAGCGCCGACCTGGCAAGTGCCAGGTCATGAGTTCGATCTCCAGTACCACAAAGTAAAAACAAAAACAAAACAAAAATCCCATTCTTTAAAAAAAAAAAACCACAGAGGGCTGGGGATTTAGCTCAGTGGCACAGCACCTGCCTGGCAAGCACGAGTTCGTGAGTTTGATTCCTGGTACCGGAAAAAAACAAAAAAAAAAGGAACTAAACCCAGGGCCTCACCATGCTCTCTACCACTAAGCTATACCACCAGTCCCTACAGTGGAAATCTCTTTGAAGCTTAACAAGAGAATTGAACTTTTTCGTGAAGGTAGTGAGCGCAGAGCCACACTGCACTGAGGGAAGAGGCATGGTGTTGGAGCAGAAGGCTAAAACTGGAGACTGGACGTGGAACCGAAACCGCGACTCACAGTGCTGTAAGAAGACGACGTCATGCTGGGCATGGCTGCACACAGGAGGCTGAGGCAGTAAAATTGCAAGTTTTAGCTCAGTTTGGAGACTTAGCAAGACCTTGTCTCGAAGGCTGGCCATGTGTGGTGGCTTGGGCTATATATATAGTGACTTCAAGGCCAGGATGGACTACACAGGGAGACCCTGTCCTAAAAAAAAAAAAGAGTGGATAGGAATGAAGCTCAGTACCACAAAAAATAAGTTCAAATAAAATTTTTAAGGGGGCTAGAAATATGGCTGAGTGCTGGAGTGCTAGCTAGAACGTTTGAGGCCTGGGGTTCAGATTCCACTACAACTGAAAATAAAATAAAATAAAAATAATAATAAAGTTACCTTGCCGTTTCACATGAAACGTGCCCGGAAGCGGGCTGTAAGGGCGGAGCGGCTCTGCATCCAGGCTCTGCGTCCAGCCACCGCAGTTCCGCGCCTCGCCTAGTCCCTGCCCCACCCCTCCCGTCACACTTTCCCACTTCCCACTCCCAGATCCTTCCTGTGCCATGTCAGGCTTACCCCATTTCCCGTTCGCCTCAGAGTTCCACAGTGGCACTTGGGGCTGTGAGGTAACTTGTGGGTTACAACCTAACCCTACCCTCAAGGTTTGCTCCCTAATACTTTGCTTTTTTTAAATCATTTTTGCATCACTTTAATGTATGGATAGTCTTTGGAAACAAAAACCATTTTATTTATAGCATTCTGGTTTTAGTAGTGATTTTTCCACTTAGAAAATTTACTGAAAATGTCAAAGCCTAGAAAACGTAGCATTTGTTAAACAGTTGTTAGCCAAGGATTCATTTGATGAATCTGATTTTTCCAAAATAGAAGATTCTGATGCAGTTTTGGACAGTGCTTCAGAAGACGATGTGGTCAGGCCCTGTCTAGTTCAGAATCTGATGGGAACGGTCACACACCGGCTGACTGGGGTCACACTCGGGAACAGTCAGCTCATGTTCTGCTCCATGTCAGAGGTGTGACTTTATCACATAGAAGAGCTGATGTCAGACACCTCTGACCCACTGCAGTATTTTGAATTGTTCTTTACTGAGGAGTTAGTTCCAAAAATTACCAGTGCAACAAATGCCAGGCTGCCGTGTTGCTTCAAAGCCACCTGGCCCAAAAGGCTCCTTGGGCTGGATAAGTGGGAAGACACTGACAGTGACACAGCGGGTGTCTTCTTTGCAGCAACGTCACTGCAGGTTACTGTGCAGAAACCTGAGCAGGAAGTGTTTTGGTCAGCAACACCTCTTTAGGGTACACCTTATCTCAAATTATGGCTGGTGAAAGATTTCTACATTTGCTTCAGTACCTGCATTTTGTCAAAGGCTCAGACTTCATTGCAGACCATCAAACTTGTGTTCAGCTTTCTTGTAAATAAGTTTTCATCTGTATGAACTCCAACCACAAACACTGGAGTTGATGCATTGGTGCTTTTCAAGAGGCTGTTAGCTGTGAAGCAGTATAGCCTGATGAAACGAACAAGAGTTGGTCTTAAGCTATATATACTTTGTGAAAGTCCTTCCACATTCAGAAAATCTCTGACAGATGTGTGGAGACCTTCTTCATCTAAGAACCAGTTGGCAGGGACACTGGAGTAAAACGGAAGGAGCTAGAAGTTCACCTTCCTGTTGACGCTAGCTTGACTGGATGAAGCAGTTCAGGGGCAGGGGCAGAGCCCGACAGGCTCACACTGACAGAGGTGTGCAGCTGTCACCGCTGAGGCTTGCCCACTGCACTGGTGGAGAAAAGGAGCGCCGCTCCGGAAGAGGACAGGGAGGGGCTCTGCTAGAGAGGCCTGGTTGGTTCTCCCAGATGGAACAGTTAGTTGGGTCATGAGGAATGAATGCGAGGTGGAGAGGCCAGAAAAGTTACGTCCAGCCAAAGTCTTTCCCATGGAAGAATTATCCCCTCCCCTCCCTGCCTTGTCTTGGTTACTTTTCTCTCATTGCTGAGACAAAATACCCAATGCCCAAAATTTAGGAAGGAAAGGTTTATTTAGCTTACAGTTTGTGGAGGTTTCAGTCCATACTTGGCTGGCTCTGAGGCAGAAGACAGCAAAGCAGCAAGAGCAAGGGGGAATGGCAGCTGAACAGCAAAGCAGCCAGAGCGAAAGGGAGGAATGGTGGCAAGCTGCCTCTTCCCCTCCCTTACATTGTAAACAGGCTACCTCCACCTAAGGGGCCTGTAGCTCTCACATAATCTACATGCCCTCCTCTTCTACAGGCTCAGGATGTACACAAAGTAAGCACCTGGCTTCCTGCTGAGTCACTTAGCCAAACCTCTGGACTCCCCAAGTTGACACAATGTATCAACCATAACACCCCGACCATGCTTCACATTTGTCCTGGGTAGAGGAATGCGATTTGGGATTTCTGTAACATGTTCTTTTTTCTTTCCCAGAGATTGTGTGTCCCACAACTCTTGTAGTACTGCTGTCCTTCCGGAAAAGTCAGTCTTGAATATGAACACTCCTGTGGATCGTCACCCACCCCGTGACTTGTGGGCCCGGATGCACATCACATCCTTGCAGTATGCAGCGGGAGACATTACTCGGAAAGGGAGAAAAAAAGACAAAGCTCGAGTGAGCGAACTGCTCCAAGGCCTTGCGTTTTCTGATGACTCAGATGTGGAGGAAGATAATGAGCCTGACATACAGCCTGCTCAGAAAAAGCTGAAGGTGGCTGGCGTCCCAAAGAAGAGATGGACTAAAAGAGACCTCAATCCCAACTTTCCACAGTGGTCAGCATTGGATTCTGGACTTCTGAACCTCAAGAGTGAAAAGCTGAACCCAGTAGAACTCTTTGAATTATTTTTTGATGATGAAACATTCAGCTTGATTGTTAATGAAACAAATAATTATGCTTCTCAAAAAAATGTCAGTTTGGAAGTCACAGTTCAGGAAATGAGATGTGTATTTGGTATCCTGCTTTGGAGTGGATTTGTAAGGTGTCCCAGAAGGGGGATGTATTGGGAGATCTCTGATGCTGATCAGAACCTGGTTAGAGATGCAATTAAAAGAGACAGATTTGAATTGATTCTCGCATACCTGCATTTTGCAGATAATAATCACCTAGATCAGAAAGATAAATTTTCAAAATTGAGACCTCTCATAAAGCAAATGAATAAAAATTTCCTCCTGTATGCTCCCCTAGAAGAATATTATTGCTTTGGTAAATCAATGTGTGAATGCTTTGATACCGACCAGTTTCTGAATGGAAAGCCTCTTAGAATTGGCTATAAGATCTGGTGTGGTGCCACCATACAAGGTTACCTGGTTTGGTTTGAGCCCTATCAAGAAGAATCCACTTTGGAGGCAGACGAGGATCTTGACCTTGGGTTAGGTGGCAATCTAGTGATGAACTTTGCTGATGTTCTTTTAGAGAAAGGCCAGTATCCCTACCACCTGTGTTTCGATAGCTTCTTTACAAGTGTGAAATTGATGTCCGCTTTGAAGAAGAAAGGGGTGAGGGCGACTGGATCAATTCGTGAAAACAGGACTGGAAAATGTCCACTTATGAATGCAGAACATATGAAAAAAATGAAGAGGGGGTATTTTGATTTCCGAGTGGAAGAAAACGATGAGATAATTTTGTGTCGTTGGCATGGCGATGGCATTATCAGTTTGTGCTCCAATGCTGTAGGTATAGACCCGGTCAGTGAAACAAGTGGTTTTGCTGATCATGACAAGATCATTCAGCCAAGTCAACCAGCCATCGTGAAATTATATGAGGAATGCAGGAAAGGAGTATCTAAAATGGATCAAATTATTTCCAAATATAGAGTGAAGTTAAGAAGCAAGAAATGGTACTCCATCTTGGTGAGCTACATGATTGACATAGCCATGAGCAATGCATGGCACCTGCACAGAATCTCTAACCCAGGCACCTCTTTAGACCTCCTGGATTTCCGAAAACGTGTTGCGTATTTCTACTTGGGACACAATGCTCATCTGTCAGATGAAGGCAGGTGAACAAAATGGAGACAGTAACAGGCCAGAAAAATTAGAGAGTAGCCCTACCAAAGCAGATCTGATGTATATAGTGTAATTATTAAGTACTATTTTTTAAACCAGACATTTACATAGAATTTCAAGTAATGCTAAAAAATATCTGAGAGTGTTAAATTCCAGTGGAACCTTTCTCTGTGTCTTAATTTTGTGGCAGACTTGGGAAGTCATATTTTGAATTATTTTTGTGCATTAAAATAGTGAAATCCTGCCCTCCCCTTTTCGTCTAGCAAGTGCCATTGTGAAATGGACACTATCATGGTAGCCAGAGAATGGCACTGAGTCCACAGTCCAAAGTAGAGATAGTGCCTATGAGCTAAAACTGAGGAACTGAGTCACATGAGGCAGTGTGCACCTGTAATCCAAAAAATAGAGATTTAGTGATGTCTGACTGCCACTAGCAGTAAAATAGCACTTCAGAGTAGAGTTTTCACTGTAGTAGATGCACTCTGGCCGAGACAGGATCACTAAGTTTGAGGCGAGCCTGGGCTATAGAGTGAGACTCTGTCTCAAGAAAGGGGTATGGGAGGCTAGAGAACTCTCCATTAAAACGGGATCAGATTGTGTGTGAGCAGGGCTAGGCACCAATCTCAAAGGAGAGTGCTGTAAAGGAAGACCCAAACGTGAAGCAGGACTTCTGCATACTGAAGCGAAACTGTGTTCTGTTGTGTGTGAGGTGGAAGCTGAAGAAAATACGAAGCAATGGTCATGAGTGAAAGAAGGGTAGCAGCCCACACTGTGCCCGTGTCCAGATCACCGCAGGAGGAAGTCTAGGGCTGCAGCCACTGCAGGACGCGGACACCTTTGCAAACGAAGACAGCGGTCACTGTCTGCCTTGTTCCACCACTGAGCTGACACCTATCATACTTCACCCACTCGTACAGTGCTCCTCAAACAGTGCCTTACACAGTTATTTTTGCTTAGAGTGTGTCCATGAACTTCCAGGTTATCTCTTGTAACAAAGACGGGATGTGGAAATATTTGCTATACACATACTGTTTAGAATACTTAGAGTACACCGCAACTTGATGGGACATTTTAGCTATGCAAACAAATAGCTGTATCTCTGGAGTGGATTTCTATGATTAACTTTTTAAAAATATAGTAACCACGAGGGAGAAAATGGTAATTTGTGGCAAGAGATGTGATGACAAAAAAAAAAAAAAGATGTGATGACAAATGGCAATGTCTAAAACTTCATTAGGCAGGGTCTGGAGGTGTAGCTAGCGGGTAGAAGGCTTTGCATGGGCAAGGCCCACTCCCAGTGTCAGGCAAAATACACAGATGTAGTGACGTCTGACTGCTGCTAGCAGTAAAATACCAGTTCGGAGTGAAGACAGCTGTCACTGTAATAGGTGCACTCCTGGTGTAAGAATTAAGTTCTCACCAGCTCATCCATTAATTTATCATACTACCAAACAGTGTTTTGGTTTTTGGCTTTCTACTTTTTGGGGAGATTCTCTTATGCTAAGGAAGTGCAGGACGATGACTGAGGTGTGGTTGGACGCCTATGCTCAGAGCCTCTGGTGCTGGAGGAGACTGGGATCCTCCTGTAGGACTCAACACGCCCACCGTTGCTGGACTAACCTGGAGCCTGAGAAAGGTCTGCCAGTCTCCTCATGAGCTGGCCCTGACGAGTGGTGCCCGGATGCTGGAGAGTGTAGTTGGGCCTGACAGGGTTGTGTGGGTGCTGGCCAGGCTAGGAGCCTCTCTGGTGTTTCTGCTCAGGCAGACGCGGAGGTCCCTGAATAGGAGAAGGCCTTTTCCACTCTTGTTCTCTTGTGCGTTCCTATTGCCTGCTTCTGTCACACTTGGAGCTCTGAAAATGGTTTGAGGTCTGGGTGGGATTGTTCAAGGGATTTCACTTCAGGTGTTTTCTGCTTTAAGGCCACCTCCTTTTTCTTGCTGTTAATCTCCATATTTTCAACCTTGGATTCTTTGAAATACAGAAAGCATCTGTTAACCTTTCCCCATACTGGAGGAGGACAGGATAAATCAAATAGTAAATGTATTACTGGTCTCTGTTGTAGACTGAACGGAAGGGACACCAGCAGCGGGTGGGGTAGATCTAAAAAGGATGTTGTGGAATTCTTAAGATCACAAGGATAGAACTATCCCAAGGACTGGAGGTCAATTATCATGCAGAGAGGATTCCAGCATGGCGCTCAGAGTTGGTAGCCATGGAAAAGGGCATTTACAAAGAAAAAAGAATGTGGTAGTGTAAGACCTGGGCTGTGAACAGGGATGACGGGTGACTGATGTGGCAGGTGGAAAAGGGTAAAGGACATGAAGAGCCTATTGGGCATCATGAAGGAAGACTGCCAGGAAGAATGAGGCAGGTCAGTCATACTAAAGGACATCTAGAGAACCACAGCCAAGGGCAGGAGATGAAGCAGAGACCATAACGGGCAGCCAGGAGTCCTCACTCAGAAAGCTGCAAGAGGACTGTACAACTTACCTGGTGAGCAAGTACGTAGCACCACCAAGAGAACTGTTGGTATTTCTGAGAAAATGGTCACGGCTGATTCATCTGTAACATAAAGCAGTGGCATGAAAGGACCAGCGATGTGACCTGTACACAGCGTCAGCTTGTCTAATGACTTGTGGCAGCCAGATGCAGGCAGTGAGCAGGGAGTTGGTGATAAGAAAAGACAAAATACAGAAGTAGAACACTGAATCATGGGGAGCCACGCAGGATCCTAGCTTTCAATCTTTGTCTAAGGCTGTGGAGTTAACAAAGAAAACTGATCCCTTAACACTGAAATCTAAGTTTTTAGAACTTGGAAATCATTCCCAACTGTCCTGTTGACTGCTACCTGGCTATCCATGCTTAAATTAGTAATTTCCTGTGACACAGTTGCAGGACATATAGTTACTGAGCTAAAGCCAGAAAACTACAAATTGCTTCAAGCCAATAAAAGCTGTTGAGTCTATGGCAATAACCCAAAAAAGCAATTTTTAAAAATATGGAAATGGCTTACTGGTGAATCTTTCTCCATACCTCATGCTTAAAGAAGAGTTGAGGGAAGCCAGTTGGTTAGAAAGGAAGTAAAATGGTACATAATAGTCTCACCTAGGGTAAAGGAGAGGTGTTAAAAGCAGATACAATGGAGGTTTTTATAATTAGGTTTTTGAGATGCAGAACAGTATGTTTGGAACTAAAGAAAGTTTGCTAGGGATGCAAGGCTACATATACAGGCAAGATCTAGGATTTGTCAACCCAGGAATAAAGGTTAAAGGTGAGAGGTCAGGCAGCTCACATTCTGTCTTCTTCATGCCAGAGGACTGGCAGGAAATAAAAGGTTATGGGTTAAGAGGCCTGGGGATTTAAAAAATTCTATGGCTAGGAAAAAGAGTGAATTGTGTTGGGTACAAAAGGCATAAGTGGACATGGGAAAATATTAGAGAAGAAAGTTCAGTAAGTGGGCAAGGAGAAGTGGTACAAGAGCCAATACTTACAATGTAACAAAGATACAGGTTTGAGGTTGCAGTTGTAGCAGGTGAGTTGGTCATAGATCTTGGTAACACTGAAAGATGGCTGGCAGGAAAAGTGTTGGAGAGCAGCAAAGAGTAGCCAGGAGCTACTATCTCTGGTGGCTGGAAGAGGTGCTGAGGCCTGCTGGGAGCTACTTGCTCTAGCGGCATGGAGGGTTACTAACACTAAAAGAGCTGGCAGCCACTTGCATTCAAAGGCTGGGCCGTTAATTCTGAAAGAGTTACTCTTTCTGTTTGTGATTCCTATGTGAACTGAGCAAAGAACCCTCAGCTGACTGGGAACATCTTGGAAGCATGTGCAGGGACCTGTGCCCGACAAGCCCCTGAAGATGATAGTGAACAAGGTTGACTTTTTTCAGCAGGTTCAGGAATCTGCCCATGTTTGATTTCCGTCTTATATTCAGCTAACAATCCACACTGATATCACCAGGAAGAGTCTTGTGTGTTATTTTCTTTCTTTGCTGATTGTATTCAGTTCTTTGCTCCTTCCCTTAGGGAAGTATCTTAGCGAGAACCCTAAGGCAAGGAAGGTGGTGGTGACGTGGACGCCGCGCACCTGTGAAGACACAGCCTGACTGCCGTTGTGTCTAGAACTGTGCAGGGTGACTATGCTGAGGTCTACATGATATAAAAGTAGCTTGAGCTACAGCTCAGACACTCTTCAAAAATCATGTCCACAGTCATCAGGGTTAGGAGTATAGTCAGTACTCTCCTGTCTACTGATTAAGCAGACCACTCAAATGACAGCACAGAGAAGCCACAGGGAGAATATATTGTTTGTCTCCTGAAGGAAAAGACAAATGTTCTGCCCACGTGTCTTCATTCATTTAACTAATAAGCATTTTGTATACATCAACTGAGCATAGAAGATGGGTAGAACAAGATTTTGGTGAAAGAGGAAAAGAATAAATAAAATGGGTTCAAAGATTATTTATATGTCTCTAGCTAGCAGGATTTCCATGTCCAAAGAGATTCTGCTTCTCATGATATAATGGAATGGCACATTGTTTTTTTTGTTTTGTTTTTTTGTTTTTTTTCTTGTACCAGGAATCGAACTCACAACCTTGTGCTTGCCAGGCAGGCACTGTGCCGCTGAGCTAAATCCCCAGCCCCTGACACATTGTTTTGGAGATCCTCCTAGATCTTTATGTGCTACAGCTGTATGAAAAAGGATGCTTGTAATCATCTCAGAAGTAATTTTCACTTCAAGATTATATTACTTTTATGGAGATGGGCTAGACACTAACTTAGTAAGTTTCTTTAGGTATAAGAATTAGACCTAAATCCTGAGAAGAAAATTGGGGGATATAAAGTAGGAGGAGAATAATAAGTATTCCATTTGACCATTCAAAGACTGCAAGGGTGATATTATAAAGTTGAGAAGAAAAATAAAATGAATAACTCAGCTTGATCCCATGAAACATGAAATTTCTCAGAAGTACTCCCTCTGTTCCAGCAATTTTTTATGGCCTCTCAGTTTGGTTTTGCACCTCTAAGACTTCTACCTGCCCACCTGCTATCTTGACCTTTCTGAAAAAGGCCCCAGCTCTTCTCTACTTGCTACATTCTCTAGGGCCTAGGTTCTCTAAGACCTGCAGATCCATCTTGTGTTGGTTTGGGAGTTATT